GCCCAAAGGTCCCCATTCACACAACCAGCAGAGAATTTAAAAAGGAATCGAAAATAAACAGCCCCGGAGAGCCGCCAGAAAGCCTGTTTGTGGTGGGGTGCGTTGTTGTTAAATCAACGCTTGCTGCAAGCACCGTGCCAGAGGGCAGAAGACCCTGCGGGCGGTCGTTAAGTCACTTTTCCCCCCCAGCGCCATCGTAACTTGGAAGGGTCCCTAAGGAAGGTTGCAAGCTGAGGACTACCTGGAATCGGTGCTCGGCGGCGTAGCTCGGTATCGGGGAGGACAACCTGACTTGCTCCATCTTTCTTTGGTTAGAATCACAGAGTCCGAGTTGGGAGGTGCCTTAGAGGTCATCTAATCCAACCCTCTGCTCGCTCAGGGCAGGATTTGCAAGAGCGGGTGTTTCTTAACCTTGGCAACTTGATGTGCGGACGGTCGCTCCCAGAATTCTCCAGCCAGACTCCTTCTGTGACAGAAAACATCACTGGCCCTTCGGTTCAAGGTTGACTCAGCCTTCCGTCCTTCCGAGGTGGGTAAAATGAGGACCCAGATTGTTGAAGGCAAGAGGCTGACTCTGTAAACGGCTTAGAGAGGGCTGGAAAGCACTGAGAAGTGGCGTATAAGCCTAAGTGCCATTGCTATCTTCCTTCCTTCCTTCCCACTTAGCAATAGGACTTAGACTAATATACCGCTTCAGAGTGCTTTACAGCCCGCTCTAAGCAGCTTACAGAGTCAGCCTCTTTCCCCCAACCATCTGGGTCCTCATTTTGCCGACCTCAGAAGGACAGAAGGCTGAGTCAACCTTGAGCCAGTCAGGATCGAACTGGTGGCAGTGAGTAGTGTTAGCCTGCAACACTGCATTCTAACCATTACACCATCGCGGCTTGCTTGATTGCTTGCTTGCTTGCTTCCATCCATCCATCCATCCATCCATCCATCCTCCTTCCCTCCTAGTGGTTAGAATGCAATGTAGCAGGTAACTCTGCCCACTGGCAGCAATTCAATCCTGATCAGTTTAAGGTTGACTCAGCCTTCCATCCTTCCGAGGTCGATCAAATGAGGACCCAGATTGTTGGGGCCAAGAGGCTGACTCTGTAAACCACTTAAGAGAGAGGGCTGTAAAGCACTGTGAAGTAGCATATAAGTCTAAGCGCTATTGCTTTTGCCCTTCCTTCTTTCCTTCCTTCCATCCATCCATCCATCCATCCATCCATCCTTCGTGCGCAGTGGTTAGAATGCAATATTGCAGGCTAATTCTGCCGACTGTCAGCTGTTCAATCCTGACTGGCTCCATATTGACTCAGCCTGCCGTCCTTCCGAGGTGGGTATAACGAGGACCCAGATGGTTGTGGGGCAAGAGGCTGACTCTGTAAACCATTTAACCATCTCAATGGTATATAATCCTGTTGCTAATCAAGGAAAACGACACGATGTAAAAGGAAAACAGACACGTGAAGGACAAAGAAATTGCTCTCATTTCCGACGTCGATCCCAGGGCAGCTGAGACTCTCGAGAGCCCCCCCCCCGCCCCCCCCCCCCCCACAAGCCCACAGTCATTTCAGCTGGAAGATCAGAGACTAGTTTAGCAAAGCAATTAAAATAAGACCACCGATTTCCAGATCGCACCGGAAATTTATCTCTGCTATATACGATACGATCTTCGTTACGTGGGCTTAGAGCTGGTTGGAGGAAGGAGGTCAGAAGATTTTTTTTGATCTTGAGAAACGAGACTTTTCTTGGAAGGCTGGTAGCTATTTTGGAGCCAACAACCCACCTGGCTAATTTTAGCGACTCACATCAATAGGAATTGCCCAGTTCATCCTGTAAATGGAGGAGGGAAAAGAAAGGTTGGGCTGGACTTAGTTAATTAATCTTCCCCGGCCAGGATGCGAACAAAAAACTGGAATCATGGAAGGGAGAGAGACAATTGCAAGTTGGGAACTAGACAACGGATAGAAAACTGTACACCTAGATCCACTACAGTGGTTTTATTGGGAAGACTTAGGCTTGACTGCAATTTGTGAGGGACTAGCATCCTGTAACCTTACATTTTAAGGATTAATTCTGCCTCTGCCTACCAGCATCCATCTGGCTAGCGTCCCATCAGTGTGTTGAGGGCTGTTTGGAAACTGAAAGAGAATTTGTGTGAGCAAGGAGACAGCAAGGCGCCTGGGCGTGGCTTAGCTCAACTGTTCTGTACTAAAGCTGCTTGGTGCTGTGAAGCTAAAAACGAAACTCTTCTCCTCTGCTTGTGTTTTGCATTTGGAAGAGATTTCTTTTCAGGTGGGGAGGGGGAGTAGAACTCCTTAGCATCAGACCATGTTAATAACAATAATAATATAGGAAATACTAAGGCTCTGAGGGTCATTTCAAAAAATCCTTTCTTAGCGAGCACCTAGAATCCAAGAGGAACATAGGTGCCAAATTTCAAGTTTGTAGGCTTTACAGTTCTGGAGATTTTGTGATGATGTGTGAGGGGTATTTTGCTTTTATATATATATATATCTCAGATTTTCTTAAGCTGGATGACTTCCGGTGGACTTCAACTCCCAGAATTCCCCAGCATGTCAACTGCGGACCATTCTGTGTATTGACATTGACGTATCTGAAAGTTGCTATTGCTAAGACTGGGGAATTCTGGGAGTTAAAGTCTTAAGCATCTTAAAGTTGCCATGGTTGACAAACGTTGATCTAGATTCTAGAATCTCACAAATAGGACCTTGGAAAGAAGCAAGAAAAATGGCGGCTGAAGGGGAAAGTCAGTGTTTTTGGGCTGAGTTCCTGGTCTGAAACCTGAGTTGCATTTCTTTCTTTTTGGAATCTCTGGCTGGCACATCGGCCCCAGGAGACGAACCTGTTTCCCAAGGGAAGAAAAAAACTACTTCAGGACAATGCTGCGTCACTGAGCAACAGCACCCAGTCTCACTGTAACCTGATAAATATTTTCTCTTCCCCTTCCTTTTGCCAGCGTTCCAACTAACAAATTCCAAACCAATAAACTCAGATACAAGCATTTTCTCAAAGTTCCATTTTATTGGTGTTGTCACATCTGGGAAAACCCGAATCTTGAGAGTTTTCCCTTCCTAAAAGAGAAATTCAAAGATCCGTCCCTTACAACCCATCACATGGCCAACTCAAATCGTCGTCCCAACTGGAGACATTTCTCCAGAAATACCTCTCCAGGTACAGGGCAACATGTCCTTGACTCTCTGAGAAAGGATGTTGCTGAGTCTAATCTCCTACCTCACTATGAAATCCCCGCTCCCAAATTCCCAGGCACTGAATGTGGCAGCCTCGAAGCTTCCAAGTAAAAAATGCCTTCCAAGACTGACACCTTTTTGAACCCAACACAAAAGCACCTGGGCTGGTCCTGAATCAAATTACACTAGACATGAAGAATGCCTTCTAATTTTTGTTCCGCTCTCTGGGTGTGGTGAAAAATGCAGCTGGGTGCAACGTCACGAACTTTGCAAGTTCATTTTAGGCCTTTTTGCCTACAAACCAGTGCAAAACTGTTCATGTTCCCACAGCAACTGAAGCTCTTAACAAAGGGAAGAGTCAACATTCAGGGCAGAAGCAGCTTTTCCTGGGCTACAAACTGGATTTTTCACTGTGGCCTTGTGCTAAAGAGACTCGTGCGACACTTATTTGAAATAAAAATAAAAACACCTAACCCTCTTCTTGACAGCCAACTCAAAAAGCTGTTGTTACCTCCTGTGCTAAATCTTAGCGTGGAAGGCAAATAAAAGTAGAAAAAGGCCCCCACAAGACCAAAGCCCTTGAGGCCCAGAATGCAGAATTAATTTGCATTCCGCAGACAAAAATCACCCTTACTTCCCTTTGCAATTCCTAAATTTTGCCCCCTGCGCTGGATTTTCTGCTTTCCTTCACTTACTCTTTCCATGGTCTTGTTAGGGAGTCCTTCCATTTTAAACTTTTATATGCACTCTTTGTAAAACACTCTAAAAAAAAAAGGCTCAAAAACTCAAAAGACATTATCTGAGTGACTCTGGGCCACTTCCTCTCTCATCTCTCTCAGCCCAACTCACCTCGCAGGGTTGTCGTGCTGGAGGAAACGGGAGGAGGAAGGAGTCTTCGGTATTTTTGCCGCTTTGGGTTATTTATAAAAATAATAAAGGTGGGATAGAATGAAAGGGAAATAAATTCCTTCGCTACTTCCTCGTTTGCAACTCTTTGGGGTGTTGCAATTTGCAACCTAAGTCAATAAAAGAAATAAAAAGGCTACATACCGAAACAACACGTGATGGAGGAGGGAATTCAGCCTGTTTACTCCCTGTTGTTTGACTATCTCAGGCAAACTTCAGTGCCACGGCCAGGAGCTATACAGAAACGTAAGTCTTGCTCAGACTTATTTTGGTTGCCGGATTTTCGGTAGCCATCCACAAAAAGGTAAGATTTGTCTGAGTGCATTTTCAGCAGGCATTTCTCAAGAGCAGGTAAAGAGAGGGAACAGCCAGCCCTTCAAGGGTTGGATCAGACAACAATAAACACCAAGAGGACATCCAGAGGGAGCTCAGGCTGCTTTGGCCATTCCAGAAAGAATAATTTAAGTTACAACGGAGAGTGAGAAGAAAAAAACAACAGCCCCTCAAACAGGCATATCTGGCACGGTGGCCTAGCCTGCCCACCAGTCAACTGGCGCCCCAAACAAGCAAAATTACATCAAGGGTGAAGATATGCGTAAAAGTTTACATTGGAATCCCTCGCCGGCCCAGGGAGGGCGTTACCAGCATCTATCCCCATCAATACTTAAGCACAATTTAAGCAAGCGTTAAAAGTTGCTCTGAATACAACTTTTCAAGTCTAAAGAGGAAACTTGTGTTCACATAAAAGGCTTCCCCTATAAACCCAGGTTAACTGCTGCATTCGCGCACCATAAAAGTCAATGCTTTCACTTAACGCAAATGCTCGGCCCGCATAACGTACTTAAAAGGCTTGGTTCTTCATAAAACGCCGAACCCCGGAGAAAACCGCCTCACTTTAGCCCAGTCTAGTGTGTTGCAAACATTCTTCCCGCACCCCTTGGCCTTCTGCCCTTCTGCCACAACTGTGTGTCCGGATTCACCCGTCCACGCCATCCTTGCAACTCAAAGACACTTTGCAACTGGAAATAATCTCTGATTCTTCAACACTACCACCCTCCGGAAGTTTGGAAAGACGCAGGGAGCTGGGGAGGTCCCCTTGGAACCATGTGCCTGTTTCTTACCAGCCCCACATCGAGGTACGTTGTGCTGCCATCCCTCGCCGGATTCAACTGCTAAGCTACGGCCAAGAAGCCAAGAAGTTAGACAAGGTGCGAATCAGGAAGCTGGCAACTGATAAATGAGGCAGTCTTAGCAAGTCAGCCTTCAATCTTACGGCACCAAGGTGATCGCCTTAAGCGCCTCACTGGTGGGCAGCAGCAGCTTTCCACGAGAGGAAATTTGAAGCTTAACTACAACACGCACCTGGGGAACTGGGCACATGCTTGCTCCACTGAGAAGGTGTAAAAATACAGGACTGTGTCCTCATTACACACAGACAACAGAGAACCAAGTTGGAGAGGGGCGTTTAATGTCCTGAATCCATCCGCCTGAAAATAATGTTTTAGTTTGACGAGATGTATTTTAATTCTGGGTTTAGACGCAGAATCTAATGATAATAATAGGCAGGTTATTGAGGGGGCAGGGACTAGAGCGGACCCAGAGCTGTTACAAGTAATAAAATACCACCTGCCAAAAACAATGTTCGACGCTTGTGACTTTCATTTGGCTTTACAACATCACCACGTTCCTCCTTTGCGTTGGAACAAAGCACTAAGCAACCTCCAAAATGTTAGGAATTCAAACCAAGCCCTAACATCATCACTCTGTCCCAAATAATCTGGAACCATTCCAAGCACAAAATGTCACTTTCAAAATAGGGCAATTTGGAGCTCAAAACTCTTCCCGAACGGACGGAGTTGGTTCTGGAACTCTTCCGGTGGGATGAGAACATTCTGTTCCAATTCCAAACTTGCCTGAACTCAAGACATTTCGAACAGAAATGTCTGGAAAATATCAGTCCCTCTTGGTGCAAAACAACCCACCACTTGTTGAAAGAGAGACACTACCAACAAGATGCATTTATGGAGCGCTTGTCTCCCGTTATTTCAGTGCCTTTCCTAAATAGCACAATATTTTAAAAGTTTGTGTTAGGGGAGGCAGCCAAGAAGCCCAGGTCCTTGTTTCACACAGAGGATAAACATTAAATCCAAGATTTATCAGCTTGTATATACTTTCTAGAGAGAAATATCCTGAAGATGAATTCCAGCAACACTCCGAAAATTTGGAAGACAAAGCCTCTGGTTCTGGTGACCGACCCAGGCTGGATCCTACATTATCCTGGGCAGTGGTGGCATTCAAATTTTTTTTACTACCGGTTCTGTGGCCGTGGCTTGGTGGGCGTGGCTGGGGAAGGACACTGCAAAATCCCCATTCCCTCCCCACCCCACTAACCTGCTTTCCAGCTCCGTTCTCCTGTGCAGGGCAACCAAAGAAGACCCAGCCGATCAGCTGGGACTCAATGGGAGGCAAAGAAGAGATGGGGTTGGCGGGGCCAGTCAGAGGCGGCATTGGCCGGTTCACTGAACGACTCCAAATTTCCGCTACCGGTTCTCCAGAACTGGCCACAACCCGCTGAAGACCCACCTGTGATCCTGGGACATGCATATATTTGCCTTCATTCATTTCTCAGCTTGTCTGTCAGACCTGAGGGTGCAGGTACCCATTCCTGATGCCCCAGAAGCCGACGGGGAAGGTGTTCGTTTCCCTGGAGAGAAACGCGGTTGCCTAAACAAGGTCTCAGTTCCGTTGCTGGGACCTCTCCTTGGAAGCGAAAGGAAGCCAAGTTGAAAGGTAGGACGATCCTCTTCCTAGGCACCTAACAAGGCAGGCAAGTTGCACGAATGCCCAAAACCGTTTTCAGTAAAACAGAGAAGGTCAAGCCGTAAAGAGGGGCTGGGATGGCAGTGGTGGCTTTGCGGAGCCTCTCAAGACTGTGTTGTTGAAACAGAGGACATAAGAGGGGGTGCAATTCCCCCTCTCCCCCAAGGAGAGAGGCCAGGTGAGAAACACTAGGAGTGCTAAGCCTCTAGAAATTAACTTAGCATCCAGAGGAAAACAAGGGCTTAGCCTCATTCCTGAGCTTTGAAACTAGCGTGTGTGGGGGGAACTAGGGGATCTTAAGGCTTGCTGCTCCGCTCCTAGGGCCTATTCACGATACCTGGAGGCTCCCTTAGTTCCTTGTATTTTTAGAAGCAGTTAAACAAAAGGCCATTCACAGATGATCGCTAAGAAGTAAGCTTTCCCTGGCTACAAAAGATCCTTTGCTCTTTTCCTAGGCTGTCAGCCAGCAACGAGGAAGGATTGGACACCAAATATTTGGCCCCAGAAGATCCACGTGGCAATGCTCACACGGCCTTAAGCAGCACCCAGCAACGGTTCCCAACGGCTCTACCGCCACCTGGAAATTTCGTCAAGTTATTCCAACCGGTGTAGGGTAGCCCAGTCTTTTTGGGCAAGACTTGTCCCAATGTTGGGGGATGGACGGCAGTCTTATTGTTGTGGTTCGCCGGCAGCCGGTGCAGACGGCAGCGGAGTTGGACGGTGAGGAAGAAAGGGGACCAAGCAGGGAGTCTGGAGAGGATTCAAAGAAGGGTCCTGCGTCCAATGCAGGGATGGGACCAGGACCAGCTGGGATTGGGGTGCTGCCAAGTCTGGCAGCAGCGAGGCCGAGGAACAAGGGGAGCCTGTTCCCAGTGCGCGTATGCACGGAGCTGCTAGAAGGCAAGAGCAGCTGAAACAAAAGGGGCAACTCGGGAGTAAGGCTGGGGGGTGATTGCCCCTCACATAAGGGATAAAAGTCAGGCCTCAATGACGAACATTTTGCAGGAAGCAAAGTAGTTCGATAGATTCCAAGTCTTCCATGAAGCTCTGTGAACTCTGGTCGTTTTTTTCTGGTACTTTAGTTGGTTTCTGTCATAATGAATTTGGTTACTTCTGTTTTTGGTGGTGGGATTCTACCAGTTTGCACCTATTCACTGGAACTGGTTGTTAACATTCTAAGCAGTTCGGAGAACCAGTTGTTAGAAGAAATTACTGGGCTAATCCTGTAAGGAAGGCAGGAAGGAAACATTCTGGTGTTGCTTGCAGAAACTGCCTCTCCGTTAACCCTTATTACATTCTTGGCAGGACTAGACTTCCTGTCTCAGGAACTTCTCTGGAGATTTTTTCCCCCTCCTTTGCTGGTACTTTGCTTGTGTGGAGTGACTGTACAAAGTTACAGCAGCACTGAAAAAAGTGACTTATGACTCTTTTTCACACTTACGACTGTTGCAGCATCCCCACAGTCATGAGAGGCCAGGCGAGGAGACGCGTGCCTCCATGTGAATGATGTTGAGCTGGCCACGCCCAGCCAATAACATGACCACCAAGCCACATCCACCCAGTCACATGACCACCAAGCCACGCCCACCAATTAAGCCACGCCCACAGAACCGGTTGTTTAAAAAAACTGAATCCCACCCCTGATTCCACAGCACTGAAAGCTGCGTGGTTATCTTGGGGAACTGTTTAAGATTAGTTCTGGCTGGGAACGAAAGTAATTCCCAGCGTTGCATTAAAATAGGTTTTGCTTTTAAAACAAGTTTGTGTTTCATTATGTTTGATGAAGCCTGGGTCAGAACACTTATAAAATGGGCTTTACCAGCACACAGGGGCAGAGGAAGCTCAAAAGGATAGTGTGAACCAGAGTTCTGTTTTGCTCTTCTCTCTACATCGTATCCTAAACTGAACAAGGCAGGAAATATTTCAGAGAGATATCAAGGCTTAAATGACAACATATATATATATATATATAT